CCCATGTTGTTTGTTCATTCTTGTGTCCCTTCTCGCTTACTCTTCATTTCCAAAATGAATTTTTCTTTTATTTCTAATTCTTTGTGGAAATTGGTTTTTTTTACTAGTCACCTAATTTATGAGTTTTAATAATTCTTATTTATCTTCCTTTCATTGCTTTTATAATTCTTTCAGCTTATTTTTTCTTATAATAACTCCATATGGAAATTGATTGTAGTGTTTTTGTATTACTCATTTTTAAGTGAAATGCATTTTCATGGTCTTTTAAAGAGAGAGATGTGGACCAGGGTAGCATTTCTAATTTCATGGTTCTCAAGATCCCATTTCTGTTATTTTCACAGAGTAGGTATGGACTCCTAACCCTCCTCTCTTTTTATCTGGACTTTCTCATCCCTTCATCCCATTGTCCTTGCCTTGCTCAATTTGGATGCAACTTCTGTAGTTTCTTCTCCGTGTGGGGCTTTGTCTGAGGAAAGGGCTTCACCTAGTAGTTTTAAGAACTACAGGACTCAGACCTACAGAATACTTCAGCACCATTAGACCTGGTGGCATTTTCTTAGTCTTACCTATCAACCAGAGCCTGAAACGTCCATTCCCAGCTTCTGTTGCTGTGTGAGCTTTTCAGTGAAACCTAATGGCAATTCTGTTTCCCTGGCTCTCAGGGAATTCTGTAAGCCTTCCCTCCACAGATTCCAGCACTTTCTTACTACACGTGGATTTTGGAGTGGTTACTGGTTTGTCCTGACCTGCTCGTGTTTTGGGGTTGGTATAGATACCTTGTCAACTAGTATTATTGTATATGTTGTTCCTTTTTTGTGTTGCTATAGTAGTTGCTCCATTTTTATAGAGAAATTTAAAAACTATGCCACCATCGTCTTTCCAGAATTCTTCCAATGTTCCTTGAAGAAAAAAAAAGTTGTTTTGTAACTTCATAATTGAAAAAAATGTATTAGATTATTGACTCATACAATGTCACTTAGAAAAGTTGAGTTTTTGGGCTACATTTTTGAAGTTCCCTGAAATTCTAAGAGCCACTATTTTTCCTTTTGAATTTACACTTGGACCAAGTATGTGGTTAGGATTCACGTAATCATGATGTTGTAGAGTAGCTTTGGCATCAGGCAGATCTGGATTACAATCCCATTTCTGTCACTTATCATTTTTCTTTTCACATATTAATTTATTTGAGGTTTTCCTCATCTCCAACATGAAAATAATACTTCTTCAATAACAACTACTACTAAGTATCTCAAAGGGTAATTTGGATTCAATTATATTGGATATTTGACTGACCATTAATAAATTAATATTTACAATCTTTTGATTTTATTGCATCCTAATTCATAGAAGTATAATAAGGTGACAATGTAGAAGACAGTTGAAAGTATAATAATTTCTTTTGTATTACATAAAAAACTTTGTTGTAGAATTTTTAGAAAATGGCAATTCGGTATTTTCAAAATAATTTTATTAATACATCCACATTTGATGTGTCCTATCATAAATTGTATTCAAATGTTCAATATTTCTGACATCACTTCCCATAGCAATTGGGAGGAGTAGATGTTGTGGATCAAGAAGTTTTGTCCTTACACTTTGGAAGAATCTGACTTGGGTCCTTCCTTCACAATTTACTAGAAGCTTAGTGTGGTTTGTTATTGCTATCAGTGAAAGCTTCCTTTTGTAGCTGCAAATTTGCATATAATCAAATTCAATGAATGTTAATTAAGCATGTACTCATTGCTAGAAACTGGCATAGGCACTAGGCATAAAACAGTGAATAAGACAGAGTTTCTGCCCTCCTGGTACTTAGAGTTTAACGTCAAAGGTAAACAAGCCACTACTGCATAGAGTGGTAATTGCTGCTGTAGAGCAACCAGATATTATAAGAAGAGCAGTTTAACCCAGACTTGAAGTTCAGGAAAGGCTTCCTGAAGAAAATGATACCTTAGTTAGTAGCTGAGGATGTGTAGGAATTCCCAAGCTAATAGGAAAGTAGACAAAAAGGGCATGTATGTGCAAAGGCTTGGAGACACGTTCAAGTATGAGCACTTGAAACTGGAAGGACTAATAAGCAGTGTTCCCAATACTGGCCGAAGTTCAAACTCACCAGGAGAGTTTTTAGAAATACAGATGTTTTTTATTGGTCCCACCTCAGACTTAATGAATCACATTCTCAGAGAATGTGTGTTAGGATTCTGATTATTAGCTCCTATGGGGAGCCACCGGTTTAGGGCATGTAAAAGGGGTTGCAGAAAGGGGACCAAGGCAGGGAAGGTGAGGCAGGGATGCCGGGGGTGCACCACGAAGGGCTTGGAAGCCACGTGTGAGTTTGGATTTTTATCCTAAGGGCAGGGGCAAGCTACAGAAGGATGTGGGGTATATGGGGATGGGATGATCAGATTTATGATGTATGAAGATCACTGAATTTACTAAAATACGGCCCCTGCCTACATGAGAGATACAACCTAATTTACGAGGTTGTATCTTTGAACCTCAGTTTTCAAAATCTAAAATAGAAATCATATCTATTTGGCGTGGTTATTTTGAGGTTTAACTGAGAAAAATCTATGCAAAGTGCCTGATATGTATTTGGCACTCAAAAGATGTTAATTCCTGAAAACAGTATGGAGGATCCTCAAAAAATTAAAAATACATGTAGAACTACCTTATGACCCAGCAATACCACTCCTGGGAGGGCCGGCTGAGTGGCTCAGTTGGTTAAGAGCTCGCTCAAGAGTTTGAGCTCTGAGCAACAGTGGTTCGAGTCAGCCCGAGCTGAGCAGCCGTGAGCTGCCAACAGGTGGCGGGATGGCTCAGCGGAAAAAAAAAAATACCACTCCTGGGTATTTATCCAGAGAAATCCAAAACACTAATTTGAAAAGATATATGCACCCCTATGTTCACCGCAGCACTATTCACAATAGCCAAGACATGGAAACAACCAAAATGCCCATCAATAGATGATTGGATAAAGAAATTGTGGTACATTTACACAATGGAGTCTTACTCCGCCATAAAAAAGTATGAAATCTTACCATTTGCAACAACATGGATGGACCTAGAGAACATTATGCTAAGTGAAATAAGTCAGATTGAGAAAGACAAAAACCACACGATCTCACATATATGTGGAATCTAAAGAACAGAATAAACAAAACCAAAATAGACTCATAGATACAGAGAACAAACTGATGGTTGCTAGATGGGAGGGGGGTTGAGAGGATAGGTGAGAAAGGTGAAGGGTTTAGGAAGTACAAATTGGTAGTTTCAAAATAGTCATGCAGATGTACAATATGGGGAATATAAATAATATTGTAAAAACTATGTATAGTTTCAGGTGGGTACTAGACTTATCAGAGATATCACTTTATAAATTATATAAATTCCTAATCACTGTGCTGTACACCTGAAACTAATATAAAATAATATTGAATGTCAACTATAATTAAAAAATATATGGTCATAAGATGTAAAGTACAGCCTAGGGAATATAGTCAATGGTATTGGAATAGCTATGTACGGTGTCAGAGGGGTAGTAGACTTGTTGGGATTATCACTTTATGAAGTGTGTAAATGTCTAATCACTATGTTGTTTTGTACACCTGAAACTAATAACCAAAAAGATAGTCACGGGAATATAAAGTACAGCACAGGGAATACAGTCAATAATATTGTAATAACTATGTACAGTGTCACATGGGTAATAGACTTGTTGGGGTTATCACTTTGTGAGGTATATACTCGTAAATGTCTAATCACTATGTTGTTTTGTACACCTGAAACTAATAAAAAAAAAAAAGTCACCTTCTCGCTCATTCTCAGGTCAATGTTACATGCTGATTCCTCCATCCAGGCTCCCCCTCACACTGAATAATGCCTCAGGCCTCAGGCCTCACTTACAAATATCCTCTTAGAAGGCAGTCCTTGAATCTCCACACCAGCTGACATTCCCTTGTAGGTGTTTGCAGTATCTTTACCCCTTCCCCCTAAGGGCTATTCACTATACTTTTAATTTGTTAATGCCCATGTTCCCCACAGATTGTAAGCAATATGGTGGCAAAAGTATATACACCATCAATCCATATTATTCACAGATTCTGTTTGGAAATTCACCTACTTGCTAAAACTTTTTGTAACTCCAAAACCAATACTCATGGCACTTTCTCCATCATTCTTGGACAGGCACAGAGAGGTGAAAAACTGGAGATGCCCCAAAATGTGTGCTTTCAGCTGAGGCTGAGCAAGATGATGTTCTGCTTTCTTGTTTCAGCTCTCCTACAGTTAATAAGCATCCATCATGCAGTCTACTTAGTGCCACATTTTTTCACATTTCTGTGTTTTTTTTGTTGATGATTTCACTGTTTAAAATGGCCCTGAAGCACAGTTCAGAAGTGCTGTCTAATGTTCCTAAGTGCAAGAAAGCTGTGATGTGCCTTACAGAGAAGATATGTGTTAGGTAAGCTTCATTCAGGCATGAGTTATAGTGTGTTATCCATGAGTTCAGTGTTAGTGAATTGAAAATATAGGAAATAAGATGTCTTTAAACAGAAATACACATAAAACAAGGTTAGGTATTGATCAGTTGACAAAAATGGGATCAGAGGCTTACAGGAACCAAACCCTGTATTTCCCTTAGGAGCAATGGTTCAGTGTTCACTAATTCCAGTTTTGTGATGATTTTATAGAACATAACTACTGCAAATAATAAGATTCAACTGTATATTGGTAGCTTCTATACCTCCAATAGTTAACAAAGTGACTCATATAATAAGTGTTCAATAAATATTTGTTGAAACTGAATTGTGTGTATGTTATCTATATATACACACCTACTTTATACCTACATACATACATATTATGTATAATATAGACATAAGTTATATTGAATTTGTTTTTCATGCCATAGGCATACCTCACAACCTTATTATTACTTTTTGCTTTTTAAAAATGCTATTTTTTAAATTATTGGTATCATCTTTATTTTTATTGTTATCTAGGATGCTGGAGAAATGGTTTGTTCCTTTGTTGGTGGTTTGGAACTTGTTGTCAATTTACTGAAATCAGATAATAAAGAAGTTTTGGCGAGTGTATGTGCGGCTATTACCAACATAGCAAAAGATCAAGAAAATTTAGCTGTTATTACAGATCATGGAGTTGTCCCTTTATTGTCCAAACTAGCAAATACGGTAAGTAACACATCTTTTTATTTTAAATGCATATTGTCATAAGATATCATGGTGTAGTGGCAAAAACAATGAGCTTCAAGTCCAGACACCTGGATTCAAGTTTAATATCCATTGCTTATGAGGTGTGAGATTTTGGTTAATTCATTTAATTTCTCTGAGACTAATAAATGTGAAAGTGTATTTTAAACTGTGCAATGTTTATATGCAATATCCTTGTGAAATAGAGGCTGTTTTCCATTTGTCACTGGCAAGTAAAGTGGTGACAAATATCTTATTGTAGAAGTGTTAACTATCATTTCATCACATCATCATTATTATTATCCTTAAGACAATTGTTCATGCCAACTTTAAAAGTTAAATATGCCTTCCCCAGCTTAGCAAGCTTGGATCAATGGCATTCTTGAGCTAGAAGACTTTGGCAGTCATTGTATTGTTTATCCACAGCTGTGCCAGATAGAATAAGCAGCCTTGAGAGATAATGACTTCACCACGACCAGGGGCATTTGAGCATAGCTTGCACTACCAGTTGGCAGAAAAGTCGTAGAGCAGAAATTCAATCATTGGAAGGATGCTTGGTCTAGAAGACTTTTTAGAGGTAGTCTAATACTTAGTTCCTAAGAATATCTGACCAATTCCGTTAAGGACACCAAGTTATTGCCTTAATCAAGAGAACAGTACAATTAATGAACAGAAAACTATATCCTTATTCAGTTACGTTATATCTATACAAGGTAATTACATACAAAAAGGAGGATAGTCTGCATAAACAATAGAGAAAGGAAAATGGCAGACTCCGAATGTCATTGTTTGCTACACTGCCTTTTCCCTCTTGGGAAGCAAGGTGTATTACTAATGTAGAAGTCTTTCTAGGGTCATGAAGTAGAATTAATCCATGTATTCCAGTTAAGTAAAATGCTCCATTAAGAATGTGTTAAATTATTGTCATTACTAAACTATTTGCTGATCTGTAATTCTGGGTTATAAGTAGATTTACTCAAAAGGAAATTGAGCCTTGCACAAATAATAATAATAGTGATGATGATGATGATGATGATGATGATGATGATGCCAGATAGATAACTAATGCCAGACCCCTGATCACCTTGGAGTGCACTGACAATGTTCAGTTCATCAAAAGAAAAGTCAGGATTGAAACCTGGTCCATTGGTGACCCAGAAAAATACTAGTTCCCTTCAAGACAGCACCAGAGTAGCCAGCTAGCCCTTCTCTCTTGACTCATTGGCTTCTTAGCAGGCAATAAACATCTAGAGCATAAACATGATCTCAAAGGATCATTACAGTGCACATACCACCATTTGTTTCCTTTATGCAGAATAATGATAAACTGAGACGTCATCTAGCAGAAGCTATTTCACATTGCTGTATGTGGGGCAGAAATAGAGTGGCCTTCGGTGAACACAAAGCAGTGGCTCCGTTAGTGCGTTATCTGAAATCGAATGATGCCAGTGTGCATCGAGCAACAGCTCAAGCTTTGTACCAACTTTCAGAAGATGCCGATAACTGCATCACCATGCACGAGAATGGCGCAGTCAAGGTACAGTTGGTTGACTTTGTGGTTTCGTCCAGTTAGGCAAATATAGGCTGGACAGAAATTTGAGTAACGTTAAGGATTTACTGAAGTGGGTATTTGGACACACAAAACTGTCTGCAGTCATAGCTGCAGCTGAGTCATGTGTTTATGGATTATGTGGCAGAAGAGTTGTGTAAAGACAGAATTTTTCTAACTCAAAGAATATAAAATATACTCAGTAAAATAAGTAATCATTCCATAGCTTGAATTTGATTAAAGAAAATTTATAGTGTATATAATGTATTAAAATGTATAGTGTATAGTGTATACCATCAGTGGTATTCATAATTCTATTTAATGTATTATTTACTTAGCACTTAAATAATAAAACATAGGTACCAACTTAACAGCAAAGGAACGGACTGAAACAGCAACTAGTCTGCAGTTGGATAGTCTTAACCATAATAGCAATGGACTAATTCAAAGACATATTTAAAAAAAAAATCTATGCATCAAATTTTCTTTGCCTTTAACCGATATCCAGGTAGGAGAGTGTCTGCTCATAGGCTGTAATGTATACATATATGCATTGGAAACCGCCTAGAGCTTCTGAATGGGATATTTTGTTGACAAGAAATATAAAAATACTTAAGAGTTCATGAATAGTTTACATGTATTAGGAAAAATTAATTTAAAGTATTAGTTCTTTTCTATAGCCCATTTCCTTGTACAATACAATTTTACTGCTTATTACCTCAGTTTGGAGCCTATGACAACCAGGTGCGTTTATATTTTAAAACATATACTCAAAGTGGGCTGGATCTTTTAGACAAGAGTTAATAAAAATCTCTGATTAATCATGTCAGATTTATGTGTGCCGAATATAAAACATTTCAGGAGGAGTAAGTCTCTTAAAATGCCAATTGGTAATTTTTTGAGGTGATTAATTTGTCTTTCAAATCTATTATAGATGAATATGATGTTAATTTTTCTGAAATTAAACCCAGTGTACATTTAAATGTGTCAACCTTTCCATTATAAATCTGTTCTTACAGCACATACATTTGGCCAAATTAGTCCCTTCAAGCAAAACGCTGGCGTTAAAAGCACCTTTTAAACTAAGCACCAATTTTTCAAAGTAAATTATAAAAAAATATATTGGAATGTTAACTCCAAGTTGCTAAAGAATGATAAAAATGCTGTCACTTCTCTATGATTATGTTCACACTTCAAAAAAGAAGACATTTGTAATTTAAAATTACTATGTATATTCTATTATTGAACAGGACTTGCACAGCCTAACCTGCCATAAGTATATAGTCTAAAAAAAAATGAAGCTATAAAATCTAATTAGTCTGGTAAATTATCTGACATATAACATATGCTTAGGCCATTGCCAGGGACTTAAAGAAGAGAATTTCTAGACTACTCAGAAAATTTTTACATTTAATAAGGTTTGCATGTTACTGTTCAGTAGACATATATGCCAAGTGTATATGCAATTCTCAATTATTTCTTCTAAGGCAAGTCAATAGATACTCCAAAATCATTTATAATATGTATTCTGCTACAGAAATGTTGAAATTGAGTTCACCCACCCACAGAGCTTACATGCATTAGAAAAAAGAAGCAACTAAAAGGACTAGGGTAAGGGCCGACCGAGTGGCTCAGTTGGTTAAGAGCTCGCTCAAGAGTTTGAGCTCTGAGCAACAGCGGTTCGAGTCCAGCCCGAGCTGAGCAGCCGCTGAGCTGCCAATAGGTAGCAGGATGGCTCAGCTAAAAAAATAAAAAATAAAAAAAAATAAATAAAAGGACTAGGGTGAGGAGACAAAGAGAAAAGCAAAGAAAGAAAGTATGGTTGGTTGCACTCTAGACCCTTTCCTGGGTCATCTTAGAGTACCTGGAGGGCCTCGCTGTCTTGTTCATTTGCATTTCTAATGACCTGCTAGTTCTATAGGAGGATAACTGTAAACAACAGGACTTTTTGAAAAAAACTGTACTCTGTGGAGAGACACCTTACCGTGGGCCCTCCCTCTTGGGGCCAGGAGGAAAGCATATGGACCTGTGTTTCCCTTCCCTGGTTTTCTTTAAGGAGGAAAAATACGTGGATAGAGGGTATACTGGGTGTAGGTAGAATAAACGAGGTTTGGTAGTTGCTTGGATCTGGGAAATAAAGGAAAGAGTTGAGTCAAAAATGACTCCAGGTTTCAGGCTAGATGAAGAGGAAGATGTCTAGGCCAAGATAATACAAGAAACTATTTGGCACATGAGGGTGGTTAAAATACCTGCAGTGAATGTGTCACAATGTGTAACTGCTAACATTTCTGACACCAAATGCATATAAACTTTATCCACTATTTTGGCAAACTCCCGGCTGTTTTTATTTCAAATTGCTGTTGAACCTTCCTAGTCAAATGCTTGTAGTGTTATTTCCCAGGTCTACAAACATTCCTGCTGCAGCTGCCCAGCAGCAGTGATGACAGGCTCTTTGACGATCACCAGAGTCATCCTGTCACCCTGTTCATAAGTAATTTATTCTACAGTTAGCATCCTTCTTCATACAATTTCCTCAACAGCAGTGGCTGATGTTATGCAATGTATCTGTCTCATGCCAAGTGATGTTTATTCTATAACAGTGAAGGAGCAGGAACGAGGGTCTGGAATAGATTGAGTTCAGTTTCTAATGTGTTAATTTAAATGGTCAGTTTGAATTGTAGGTCAGAGCAGTGCTTTCTTGTAAGAGTGGAATGTAAGCCATATATGTAATATTATATTTTCAAGTGGCCAGAATTTAAGGAAAGATAAAAAGAAACAGGTGAACTTCATTTTAGTAATATATTTTATTTAACCCAATATATCCAAAATATTATTTCAATATATAATCAATGTAAAAATACTAATATTTTACTTTTGTGTATTAAGTCTTCAAAAAGTGTGTTTTACACGTATAATACATCTCAATGTGGACCGGACACATTTCAAGTTCTCACTGGTGTCTAGTGGTTTTCTTATTGGACAGCACAAGTCTAGAGACAGGAGAGAGGGGAAAATTCAGGAAGTATCAGCGGAGAGGCTTTAAGCCATGAGCGAGGGTGGATAAGATGTTTTTGGCACAGAGTTTAGAGAAGCCTGAGAAATGTCTACATTTTCACCCATGGAGCATGTAAACTAGGAAGAAGAGCTGTCAGAGTAAACTTGGGAAGTTAATAGGTCAACCAGGAGTTCTAGAAGCCAAAGGAAGAGAGAGTATCCAAAGGGTTAGTGTTCAAACACTGCTGAGCAGTCAACAAGGATTTCCTGATTCAGTTATGTTAAAAAAGAATCTTTGTGTTTGAGCCTTTCCTGGTAAGAATCTCTTCTATATGAACTAATAATTCCCTTGCTCCAGTAAATACAATGCGATCAGAGCAATGCAATCTTTATTCCTTTTTTATTGTACACAGACCTCAAAAGCATCAGCTCAGGGTCTTGTATCATTTACAGAACCTTGTGAACGGGGATGCAGAGCTGTTGGCAACTCTATTGACAATGTGAGAAGTCTAGGAAATGTACCAAAGGTATTTGCTAATTATAGCAGAACTGCAACATAGGAAAAGTAATGTAAGGAGGGAAAGGACAGTAGGAAAAAAACTGAGCAAGACAAGACCTTTCCTAAGACAGAAAAAGTGATCAAATAGGAAGACGATGAGCACCTATAAAAGGCATTGGGCTCCCTTCCCCATGGTGACATTGGATTTGTTTTTGCAAATGTCTATACCAGGCAAGTGAAAGCAAGGTTATGGCCTCACTTTCTGCAAGGCAGGAAATTGAAGAACTTGCACAAAATACAACCAGAAGTGGGTCCAGCAGTGGGAGAGTGAGTGAGGGGAAAGCATTTCAGTTTGGGCGGACCTGAAAGGGTTGTTCTGGTTGCCTCGCACATGGAGCAGCATTCAGAGAACAGGGCAGGTGAATCCAGGAGCAAAGACACCCCATCGTATTTCTAAGCCTGGCACAGGAAAAGAAAATAGCACGAAAGCTTTTGAGACAAGTAAATGAACTTTGCAGACTGAGATCACCCAGGATCTCAGTGTTTACGTGCAGTCTACATACCCAATGTTCGATCAAACTAGGATATTTTCTATGAATTAAAACTCTTAATGTACTAAAACTCTTAATGTACCTTTGTGATGTTGCGTATGCTCCTTACATTTCAGATAGTCCATAGAGTGCTGGGGATTGGCCACTTGGCAGGAATTAAATTACTTAGTAGGACCAGTAGGTGTCAGTGACTGTATTATGAGACCACATATGCAGTCATATACAAACCTGTTTCTGATTGACCTTTTTTTTTTTTTAAGGGAAGACTTTATTTTTTTTAATTTTTTAAATTGGGGAATTGGGGGAGGGGAACAGTGTTGAGCAATTGGGGAAGGGGAACAGCCAAGTTGTTGTCCTTCAATCTTAGTTGTGGAGGGCGCAGCAAGCTCAGCTCCAAGTCCAGTTGCAGCTACCAGCCGCTCAGCTCAAGGTGCTGTGTTCAATCTTAGTTGTGGGTGGGCATAGCCACCTTCCCATACAGGAGTTGAACCAGTAGCCTCGTTGTTAAGAGCACACACTCTATCCACTGAGCCATCCAGGATGCAGCTCAGCTCAAGGTGCTGTGTTCAATCTTAGTTGCAGGTGGGCATAGCCACCATCCCATGCAGGAGTCGAACCGGCAGCCTTATTGTTAAGAGTGCATGCTGTATCCACTGAGCCATCCAGGCGGCAATTGAGCTGCCGAGTTCAGTCTTAATTGTGCAGGCGTAGCCCACCATGGAACAGCAGTCTTGTTGTTAGGAGCATGTGCTCTCGCCAGCTGAGCCATCCTGCCACCTGTTGGCAGCTCAGCAGCAGCTCAGCTCGGGCACAGCTCACTGGCCCATGTGGGAATCGAACCGGTGACCCTGTTGCTCAGAGCTTGCATTCTTAAGCTAACTCTTAACCAACTGAGCCACTCGGCTGCCCCGACTTTTTTCTTATTACAGTAATACTGTGGTTTG